CCCCCCCAGACACACAAACACACACAAAGCCCTGCTGTGGTTGAGAGACACCGTCTTCCTCCTCAGGAGGTCCGCCGGTGCGTATCTAGGCCAGGGAAGTCTGGTGGCACTTGTAGCCGTGAGGGTCCTGGCGACAAACGAGACGCTGGGCCATTTGAGCAGCAGCAGCCCGGGGGCAGCCTGCTCATCCTTCGTCCCCTGTTGTGCCACACGGAAAAACCAGACAGGCCCTGGGAGCCACAGGCTGCGAATTCTGGTCATAACTGGGAAACCGCTGCAGCTGCCATGCAAGCATTCAGAGCAGACTGTTCAAGACTGCTGGCCACGACGGCTCAAAACACCCCTGTAAAGCTTTAATAGCTCCCTCCCAGCCCACCCTGTAGAGCTTATAGCGTTTGCTTAAGTTCTTAAGAAAGGCAGAAGAAAACAAGGCATGTATCTCCATCTTACAGAGAAGGGAAGAGGCTGAACAGTTGGGTGACTTTCCTAGCATCAGCTAGCCAGAGTGGCAGAGCCAGACCCTGGTGCTGAGTGTGTTACATACCAAGGTTCTTTCAGCAAGAAGGTGGCATCACTAAACCTGGAAAGCTTTGTGGTCCCAGACAATGTTCTACTGCTAAGGCCCCACACTTCAAGCAAAACTATCAGAAGCCATCTCTCAGATTTTATAGAATCCGGCTTGTATTCCAACACAGCATCTGTTAGGAGGTTTGCTTTATGTTCTAGGCATCTGGGGATACACGTGACTGTCTTTTCCTAACATAATTCAAGGGCTAGGCTCTAGAGCACTATTGCCTAATATGCACTTTCTGCAACAAGAGAAATGTAATACATATCTGTGCTGCCCCTTAAAATAGCCAGTAGCCACATGTTTCTACTGAGCACTTGAAATGCGGTTGTGTGACCAAGGAACTGAATTTTAAATTGTATTTAATTTCAATTAATTTAAGTTAAAATAGTCACATGTAACGGGTGGCTACTGTATTGAATAGTACATTTCCAGAAACTGTGTAGCATAAGGGGAAATCTCTGGAGTCTAACAGACCTGGGTCCCAGAACCTAGCTCTGTCATTTATTAGCTAAGAAACCTTGAGCAAGTCACTTGACTTGTCTGAGTCTCAATTTACACATCTATAAAATGGGATGACACCATGTACACTGCAGTATTTTAGGTCTGTATGTTTACTTCCACATATGTATGTATGTCTATATGGAGACTGGCACTCAAACCTGCTATAGGTTCATACGTAAAAGTCATCAAACATTTTTTCCCCTTTGTAATCTGGTGCATGCCTAACACTGGAAAATATTGTCATAAAGAATAGTGACATCACGTTAAGTCACAGAATGCAACCAGCTCAGTGCTTCCCTCCAAAATGGCTAAATACTAAACTAAATTTGGGAATGACTGCCCCATCCCTCCCCATAGTATAGCCTTCTCTCTCTCTCCCTCTTTCCCTCTTGCATCAGAGCCTGCCACAGAAATACAGGTGTCCTCCTTCTTCCCTTTTAGGAAGTACAAACACAGAGATGGTGAACTATGGAAAGTGGAGTTTGTGGCTTTCCAAACAGGTTCACCATGTAGTGTAACAGCACATAAAAGACTACCTGCTCCTCCCTCCTCTGCTTCTGCAAACAGCTCTGCATATTTTAGGCTCAGAAAAACAAATTACTATCGAGGTAATGGATTTTGAATATTCTCCAGAGTTTCTGTTATACCTTTTAAACCATTTACAAATCAACGTAAGACTTACCCGTTTGTGTTGCCTTGCAAGTTTCTCTTTAGCTTCTTCTAGCTCTTTCTGGATCTTCAGAACATGTTTGTTCATTTTACGAATTGTAGAGTGTAAGATTTCCCAAACAAATAATCTTAAAAGTAATAAGGCATTTGGTTATGGTCTGGTAAGCTGTGCTTATAGATAATAAAACCTTTCATCTTTTATAACCTATTCATTCTTGAGGGCTGACATAGCCTTCCACCCTCTGGGTATAATTAGTCATATTTCTCCAGCAACACTTATGATTTGCCTTTCATTATAAGTTGTACAAGCATTTATCGCCACTCATTAGACTCAGGTGAGCTCCCTGAGAGCGGTACTCTGTCATTTTCTTTTATGTATATCCCTACGATATATATATATATAAAAGATAGCATGTATGTATTCACTGACAGTTTAAGTGAAATAGCAAACTATGAAAAACACTAACATAAGGAACAGAAATACATTTTTCTTTTCTAAATGTAAACACTAAGTGTTGGAATTTTCTCAAATGGCAACCTAATCTGAGGTTCATTTCACCTACCTTATACTATTTAACTCACACACACTCAGCCCTCCTAGAACATTTAAGAAACTCATTTGATGATAACAGCTATCACCTGCTGGGCTCTAAGAATGAGAAATATTTACATATCAACTATCTTATCAGCAAATAGCTCAAATACTAGGATCACCTGTAAGTACTTTAAAGTGTTTGTGGCATAAATGACTTATTTTTAAAAAGTATCTTTTTAGCTACCTTTGCACCTATAAATTAGGTCTCCTAACCCCAGGATACAGTACAGAACAGTACAGCTGACTGTAAGACCAATCCCTCCTCCTTCTCAATAAGAAGACAAAGAGGATGAAGATCTTTATGATAATCCACTTCTATCTAATGAGTAGTAAATATATTTTCTCTTATGATTTTTGTAGTAACATTTTTCTCTAGCTTATTTTATTCTAAGAATACATATAACATACACACTTGGTGAGTATGACAACCTTAGATCATATCCTATCACCCTACAGATTCAGAACAGTATCTCTGGCAATAACAGATACAGTGGAAAAGCCAAAGGTTGTGGATGAATTTTTATGTCTTTGCAAGTAATTTGTTTTTTCCTGTTTTGTGTCAACTCCTGGTCCTAGTTCCAATCAACTGTGAAGCATGTGGAACTTCATAAATAAGAACCAAACAGTGAAACGGGGGAATAAGTGTAGAATGAGTCTTCTGCATTAAATCTAGGATTTTATGACTATAGTGAGAACGTCCCTTGCCAACCCCCCAGGCATCTCAGAACCTACTAGGCTTTCCCTGATCCCTCCATGACATGTATTTAGCCCACTAGTACTTTGGTTTCTCCTAGTTCCTAGTATGTATTCCAGGTCCTATCCCCAGACCAGCTGAGCCTCTGACACACAGTTGTCTCTCTGATTTTTTTCTCTCAACAGTCTGGATCCTTCAACAGCATTTCTACCTGAGTGGTTTAGTCCTAATTCAACTTATGAGTGTGTATATTTTTACTGTCTAGAAACTTTTTGCCACATCCAATCCTACCAGATTGGAAGATTTGTATATTAATATCCATCTGTTTGAACCAGAATTTGGAGCTCATGTATAAGAATTCTTGAAGAACACAAACTCTAAAATAATTCATATTACCTAGTAAAGTCACGAGACAGTTCTGAAGAGAAGATCCAATTTGCTACTGTAGCACAGTCAACAATCTGTGTACGAATCATCTTATCCACTAGTACGGCAATCATCTATGATAAGAGAATTATTCGGGTAAATCTCACTTATATGTATGCAGGCCAAAATACTACTACTGCTATAAAAGTAAAATAGGAGGGCTATAAAATTTATTTTTCGGTGGCTAAGGAATTGATCAATTTGACCTTTATGTCTTAAGATTTGTTATGCCCTTTGCTTGACTCTAGTACTATGTAAGAAATACTATATAATACCCATAAGAATAAAAACTCTGAATGATAACACCTAAAATCAAAAAAAAAATTCAGATAACAATACCTATATAAAAAAATAATAATAATTTCAATGGAATCTTAGAAGTAAAAAATATACGTTTTATCATTAAAAAGTCTTAGATGTCTGAAATTTCAACGCCTCTTTATAATACACAGTATAAAAACAATATATCAAGGTTTGAGAAATCTGGAGTTTGATTTTAGAAATTAGATAGATTAGATAGCCATATCTTTTCCATCTAGAATCTTTCAAACAAGTGTTCTTAGTGAGCATTTAAAATGTGTTGAGGTGGTTGGGCTCGGTGGCTCAGCCTGTAATCCCGCGCTTTAGGAGGCCACGGTGAGTGAATTGCCTGAGCCCGCGGGTTCGAGACCCGCCTGGACAACTCGGCGAGACCTCATCTCCACAAAAAATCAAAAAAAAATTAGCCAGGTGTGGTAGCACGCGCCTGTAGTTCCAGCTACTTGGAAGGCTGAGGCGGGAGGATCGCGGAGCCCAGCAGGTCGAGGCTGCGGTGGCCGGGAGTGGCCGCTGCACTCCAGTCTGGGCAACGAGTGAGACTGACAAAAAAAAATAAGTAAATAAAAAATAGAAAAATAAAAAAGATTACATTGTAGCTCCTCTGCCCACTGTGTCTGAAGGATAGAGCACCAAGGAGACAGACAAGGCCCCGCCCTCCTGGAGCCCAGTCTAGAGAAAACATGGAAGATAAACATATAAATGAACACTCAGGTTGTTTCCAATTTTCCTCTGTTACAAACAATACCACAGTGATTTTAGCCAAGTGTTGGAGTACACACATGGTGATTGCATTAGAATCACTCTCTAAAAGTGGAATTTACGAGACAGGGTTGTTCCATTTCACAAATCTCAGTCATGACCATCTTCATGCATATTTGTATTAAAATCATGTTGCTATTATCTGATAAACCTCTCTTCTGCCTATGTTAGTTTTCGGTTGTAGACCTATGGAGTCTCTGACTCAGAAAGGATTTTTATAGGTTTCCTGTCGAGGCTAACCCTCATCCCTCTGCAGCAATCACAGCTTACATACCCCCAGGGACAGAGGTCTCATGCCTTCCTCAGGAAGTTCTTTTGGTCTGCTCAGCTCTGAAATGCTCCCTTGTATTGAGATGAAACTGGAATTCCTGGGCTTCCACCTCTGATCCTGGCCCTCCAGCCTGCGCAGAGCAAATCAGGCCTTATCCCAGTACCCAACCTGCTGAGTTCAAGGCCAGTTCCGTGTCCCCTCGGAGGTCTGTCTCTCGCCTTCTGCTGAATTGCTGTGCCTTTCTTAGGACTCCACTCTGGCACTGCCTTACCTCCTCCAGGGATCCCTCCCTGACTCCCCTTCCCCAAGGCGACCCTTCCTTGTGGCCCTCCTCTTCTTCTGGCCTCTGTCCCTGCCTCCACCGAAGCCTGTCTCCCGGCCTGTCCCCCTCACTCCGCCTCCACCAACTCTGGGCCCAGCAGGCACTGGATCAAAACAACCTGTTGCAATGGGGGACGAGATTCTGGAGGGGGAATCTCTGACAAACTCCGTGAGCTCCGTGTTCCCTGTGTGGGATCTGGGCCCACTGCCCTCCACTGCAAAATGGACACAAAGTCAACCTCCTGGACACGACGGTCCACTGGTTTGTTTACGCAACAAGAAATGTTCAACAAGCAGGTTCTGTGAACCCGCACTGTCCCGAGAACTGAGGACACAGGGTAGGCAGGACAGGACAGGTCCCGGCCCCTAGGGCTCTGCTTGTGATGGAGATAAGTAAACAATCGTCGGGCTCGGTCAGTGAGGCCAAGGAAGGAATTCTGCAGGTGCCGGACGGGAGACCATCAGGGCAGCTTCCAGAGAAGGGAACATTCCCGTAGAGAACCAAAGGAGGACATCTTCACACAAAGAGGCAGGAGACAGAATTCCACGCCCAGGACACAGCATCTGCAAAGGTCTTGAGATGGAACAAAGACAGGGTGACCCCCAAATCGATCAGAGATCACGTGAATAGCCTTGGCATAGTCACTGAGCCAACGTTCACTGACCAGTGCAGTCTGCCAGGCCTGGTGCCGGGCCAGGTTTCTCTCCAGAGCCCACCCCAGCCCTGACCTCGGGTCTGATGGGGACAAGGACTAACAGATGATTACAAAGTGTAAATAAGGCAAGGATTCCTGCAAGAGGGAAGATCAGTCTCTCTCCCACATGTGACCCCTGGTCTCATAACTAATTGATTATTTGAATCATTGCTGCATGGATTCATAGGTTTATTTCTTTTTTTTTTTTGAGTTGGAGTCTCACTCTGTCACCCAGACTGGAGTGCAGGGGCCGCTCCCGGCCACCGCAGCCCTCGACCTGCTGGGCTCCGGCGATCCTTCCGCCTCAGCCTTCCAAGGAGCCGGAACTACAGGCGCGCGCTACCACGCCCGGTTGATTTTTTGATTTATTGTAGAGAGGAGGCCTCGCCAAGTTGCCCAGGCGGGTCTCGAGCCCGCAATCCACTCACCTCAGCCTCCCCAGGCGCGGGATGACAGGCTGAGCCACCGAGCCCGGCTGGTTTGTTTCTTAAATGGATGATCAGTGTGTTCATTCGTCTAACAAACTCGGCCATGGCTTCTCTGAGCCGGGCACTGAGCTTGGGCTGGTGAATGGGCATGTATACGACAGAACTCCTTGGCCCTGTGCAATGTGCCCTGGGGGGACAAGACTGAGGACAAGCGTATGGGGGAGTCAAACGCTGCGCCAGATGGAGGTCTCTGGCTGCAGGCGTTCAAGGAGGAACCAAGAAAACGCAAACTTGGGCTTGGAGGAGGAAGTGGAGGAGGATCAGCCCCAAGAAGATCCGAGGAACGGCCTGTGCACAGGCCTGGCACCAAGTGTGAGTGTGTGTGTGTGTCTTAGAGGGAATCTGCTCTCTTTCAAGGGAGTGAGCAGGTCAGCCACAGAGGCTCACACCTGTGATCCCAGCACTTTGGGAGGCCAAGATGAGAGGATTGGTTGAGCCCAGGAGTTCAAGAACAGCCTGGGAAACATAGCAGGACCTCATCTCTAAGAAAAAAAAAATTAAAAATTAGCCTGAATGACAGAGCAGAACCGTGTCTTTAAAAACAAACAAACAAAACAAAACAGGCTGGGCTTGGTGTCTCAGCCTGTCATCCCAGCACTTTGGGAGGCCAAGGCGAGTGGATTGTGTGAGCCCGTGGGTTCAAGACCAGCCCAGGCAACTTGGTGAGACCTCTTCTCTATAATAAATCAAAAATTAGCCAGGCATAGTAGTGCACACCTGTAGTTCCAGCTACTTGGAAGGCAGAGGCAGAAGAATCGCTGGAGGCCCGCAGGTCGACACTGGTGTGGCTGTGAGTATGCCACTGCACTCCAGCCTGGGCAACAGAGTGAGACTCCAACTCAAAACAAAAACAAAAACAAAAACCCAGAACTTTGGAAGACTGAGGCAAGAGGATTGCCTGAGCCCAGGAGCTGGAGACCAGACCTTGTCGCTACAACAAAATAAAAAATTAGCTGATGTGGTGGTATATACCTGTAGTCCCAGCTACTTGGGAAATTGCGGCGGAAGGATCACCTCAGCAGGTAGAGACTGTGGTAGCCATGATCGTGCCACTGCACTCTAGCCTGGGCTACAGAGTGTAACTCTGACTAAAAACAAACAAAAAGAATGCACAGCAATACATTGTTTTCAAATACTTTTCAACAGCATAAAAAATCCATAGAATTTTTTTACGAAAAATTCTATGAAATTGTGTGTGAAAATTGCTACAATATCACGTATGATACAATTATAAAAAACATAATAGGGGCCGGGCTCAGTGGCTCAGTCTGTAATCCCAGCACTTTGGGAGGCCAAGGTGAGTGGACTGCCTGAGCCCGTGGGTTTGAGACCCGCCTGGGCAACTTGGTGAGACCTCATCTCTAAAAAAAAAAAAAAACATAATAGGTAAAAAACAAAGACTGAAGCCAGGCTCGGTGGCTCAGCCTGTAATCCCACGCCTTTGGGAGGCTGAGGTGAGTGGATCGCCTGAGCCCATGGGTTTGAGACCCACCTGGACAACTTGGCGAGACCTCATCTCTATAATAAATCAAAAACTAGCCGGGCATGGTAGCGCACGCCTGTCGTTCCGGCTACTCGGAAGGCTGAGGCGGAAGGATCGCCGGAGCCCAGCAGGTCGAGGCTGCGGCGGCTGGGAGTGGCCATTACACTCCAGTCTGGGCGACAGAGTGAGACTCCAACTCAAAAAAAAAAAAAAAAAAAGGAATGTCCACGCCTCACAGGCTGGGACTGCCTTCTTTTCCACCTGGGTCAGAATCCTGAAAACAATTTGGCCATGAAAACCCTGATTAGTTGGGTGTGGTAGCTCAGGTCTGTAATCCTAGCACTTTGGGAGGTGGAGGCGAGAGGATTGTCTGAGCCCAGGAGTTCAAGACCAGCCTGGGCAACTTGGTGAGACCTTGTCTCTACAATACATAAAAAAATAAAAAATAAAGCCGGACTGGGTGGCTCAGCCTGTAATCCCGCGCCTTTGGGAGGCTGAGGTGAGTGGATTGCCTGAGCCCGCGGGTTCGAGACCCGCCTGAGCAACTTGGCGAGCCCTCATCTCTACAATAAATTAAAAATTAGCTGGGCATGGTAGCACACACCTGTAGTTCCAGCTACTTGGAAGGCTGAGGAGGAAGGATCGCCAGAGACAGAGTGAGACTCCAACTAAAAAAAAAAAAAATTAGCTGGGCATGGTGGTGTGCATCTGTAGTCCCAGCTACTTGTAAGGCTGAGGC